GCTCCTTGCTCCCCGGCCCGCGGACCGGGCGAGCAGCCTTTCGCTGGGCGTCTGCGTCTGGGCACAGCCGGCCGGGCTGCCAGCTTCCTCGGCCAGGAGTCGGGGCGTGAAGGGAGAGGGGAAGCCTGGAGAAGTCGCCGCTGGGCTCCGTAGGCCCTCAGGTCTTCTCAGGTTTGCGTTTTACGTGCCATCCAGAAAGGAAAGGGGAACGGACATCCGCCGCGCCTTCCCAGAAGCAGGACCCCGGCGTTGCGTCTTCTGTCACTGACGTGCGGGCACTGTTTTATCGCTACGACACTGAGTGTATCTCATCCACTAGTGTGTTCATTCAGTGAGGATTTAGGGCGCTCTTAACACATGCCCGGTGCAAGCCGCCCTTGAAAGTAAAAAGATAAAGAAGGTCTCACTCTCGCAGTGGAACGGAGGAGACGACACAGGGTGATGCAAATGTTAACAGGATGGCACAAAGGGGTGGCTGTTGAGAACAAGGAACTGGATTTTAAATTTAATTTAAATGTGACTACTCCATGTGGTTAATGGCTATCATTCGGAGAGCATAAAGCTCTGGAACAGAGTCGCTAAGAACCTGTCCAGCTCTGATGTTCTAGAACTCTCTAAATAACCCTCCTACAATGCCTGGCACGTGCACACACACACACTCAGAGGACTGAAGTTAGCTGTCTTCCTCAAAACAGCGAGCAGGTGTCTCCACTACCCTGAGACACCCGTGGTTGGGATGTTCTCAGACACTCCGGGGATCAAAGCCACCCTTGCCCAGCCAGCGTGTTGCCACAGCTGCAACCAGGCCCAGGCATCGAGTCATGTGCGGAGTGCTCCCCTAAATGCCGACGCTGAGCTAGTTCCCCAACTAGCGGAAAGTCAGGTTACTCACAGGCCCCCAGGCAGCTGCCCAGCCTGTCCCTGCAAGTGGTTCTCCCCACCCTGAGGCCCCAGGGTCCCCTCCATGCTTCTCCAAGATCCCCACATTTTAGCCTGGACAAAATCACAAAGAAAATGTAAATCAGTATACATTTGCCCTAGATCACATTCTGCAGGTTGATTTACAAGGCGTTCCCCAGCCTCTGAGGAAGTTCAGGTACTTCACGCAGACAAACTGCAGCTGCAAAGTAAAATAAACGGACTGGGGTGGGGGCTCTCTGCAGGGCAGGAAGACAGTGAGGGCGAGAATCCAGATTTCCTGGCCCTCTCCACCCACGGTACAAAGGCTAACTCGGGTTAACCAGCTCCAGGTCCCTCATTTTAGGAAGATCATTTCAAACATCACCATTACACAGACTAAGCATTGCACAGACTCACTATTTCACGGACATCACTATTGCACGGACATCACTATTGCACAGACTAAGCATTGCACAGACTGACCATTGCACAGACCTCACTATTGCACAGAAATCACTGTTGCACAGACATCACTGTTGCACGGACCTCACTGTTGCACAGACCTCACTGTTGCACAGACCTCACTCTTGCACAGACTCACTATTGCACAGACATCACTGTTGCACAGACTCACTCTTGCACGGACCTCACTCTTGCACAGACTCACTACTGCACAGTGGTTAAGAGCATGGGCTCTGGAGTCAGCCTGGATTTGCCTCCCAGATGCACAGTTCACTAGCTGTGTAAAGTTACTTCACTACCCTAATTGTGGGTCTCCCCAGGTATAAAGTAAAAAGCTGAGAAAACTGCAAGAGACAATCCCAGCGGAGGGCTCCTGCATGTCCATTAGCTGTTATTTTAAAGAAGTTTTTTCCTGCAGCTCAGCTCCGTGACTCTGCTGTGCCACCTTCACTCTTGACAAACAGTGCCACTCTGGAGGTGTTTCTATCCAACAGCTTGGTGGAACTACCTCATTCATTAGTGTCTCAGCTTAACTGGAATTTTTTTTTAATATACCTGTATTGATTTCAGAGAGAGGAAGGAAAAGGGAGAGAGAGAGAGAGAAACATCCATGATGAGAGAGTCATTGATCGGCTGCCTCCTGGATGCCCCCGACTGGGGATCGAGCCCGAAACCTGGGCATGTGCCCTGACCGGGAATCGAACCGCAGTCTCCTGGATCCTAGGTGGATGCTCAGCCACTGAGCCACGCGTGGTTGGGCTGGAATTTTTTTATTTTAACTAAAGCTATCTTAATCAGCCTTTGCTTATTAATTGGTCAGCTCACAGCACACACATATATACACACACTCTATCACCCCACATTATCCCCCACACCCCACCCACAGCCTGCTGTCCCTGCCCAGGGCACCCGGGGACCCCACTGCACCCCTTTCCATATGTCAGTTAAGGAGGTAAAGGGATCTCACTCTCCTCTTACCCTCAGATACCTTCTAGAGAGGTGACTACATCTAATGAAGTGGCCTGGTGGACAAAGCAAACAGCTAAGCCTAATAGCCGGGCGCCCACAGGCGCCCCCCAACAATCAGCCCTACTCGCCCACAGCGTAAGATGTGGTTTGCAGCCTCGGAACGTTCGCTCTGGTAGATGTGGCGGGTCCAGCGCAGACCGAGGGAGCCGCGCTCCCCCCGGCAGCTGCGCTTTCAAGTGGTTCCGAGCGCGGCCGCAAGCATCTCGCTGGCTCTGTGAGTTCTGTCACGTCAAAAGCACCTGTCCCTCCCCTCAGCCACCCGAACCGAAACCAAGTCAGCTCTCTCAGACTGTCAATAAAGCAACTCAGAAGCCCAAATAAATACAGAACAAACATTTAACATGCACTAAAATAAACCTTACAGATGTTTTACATTAGAGTTCATTATAGTAATTAGCTGAGTTCTTTTGCAGTGATGAGGTGGGATGGATATTGGTGAACTAGCCAAGTTCCCCAGTATCCCTCCCTATAGACGGCAAGAATACATTACAAGGTGACTCTTCTGTCAAAGGTACAGTTAATACAGAGGAAAGCCATCAAGGACTCTATTTCCTAATGTCCAAAAGCACAGAGACTAGGACACGAACCCCTCCATATGCATCACCAGTTAATTATCAAATTCTGCCAACTCAAGGACCTTTGAAAGGTAGATGTAGGAATGTCTTATGTCATTACCTAAATGACGTTTCCGCCTGCGTGGCTCGCGGCAGAGGGCAGACCGAGGTCTCAGGAGTGCGAGGAGGCCCTGCCTGTGCTCTGGCCCAGGGAGACTGCGCGGGTGCTGACGTGGGCGACAGCCCCGCAGGGGCGGAGGAATCTACCGCTGACCCTCTGTGCTCCCGGCAGACAAGCTGCACGCAGCTCCGGCCCACCCAGTGCCTGACCCACTCAGAGGAGACGCCTCTTCTAACTCCGTCCATCTCCCACCCCCGTGACACTAAAGGAGATATGAGCTTTACCCTCAGACTGCACCTGGCACAGGCTGTGATCTGGGGTCGATTGCAGGTTGGCCTGAGGGGCAGGAGGGGCACAGACATTTGCTGAGTGCCAACCATGTGCCAGGCAACACTTCACGTCAACACCTCTCTGCCCTGACTACAGCTTTGCAACCGCCTGGGAGACTAGGGGAGAGATGTCGGGATCTCCACAAACCAAGTATTTCAGAGTCAGAATCATCACTTAACAGCAGTTCTCTCCGGAGCCCCGTCAGCCAGGACCAGTTTGCTCAGCTGTGATGCAGATGTTAAGTGGCAGGGCCAGGATGAGAGCCAGGGCTGGCTAGTTTCCAAAGCCCTGCCCGAGTCGTTGACACAGCCCCTAACACTAGGTCTCTGGTCTCCATTCAGACCATAAGATCTCTTTGGGCAGCAACTCCCAGATGATGCTTTATAAGTATCTTGAGTTCAATGACTATATCACGTTCTAGACACTTAATTAGAGCAGTGAGTCTATGTCACAGTCCAGATCAGTGAAACAGAGTCAGGCTGCTGAAGCAGACACCAGCGAATGAAGAAGCCCAGTTATTCTTTCTCTAGGGTCAAAGCCCAGCCTGTTACCCATCTCTTCAAATATTTCTTCTGCCACCGTGTCTTTTTTTCCTATTGGAAGTTCAGTTACATGCCTGTTCGTGTGACAGCTCTCGGATGTCTCTCTGGGTGCGTCTCACTCTTTTCAGCTCTTTGTGCTTCAGTTTGGACGGTGCCTGTCTTTAAGCTCCCGATTTCCTGCGCTGAGCCCATCAGATTTTCTAGTCTTTCACCAGGTGTTTCACTTCCAGCACTTCTATTTGGCCCTTTCTTACAGCTTCCATCTCTCTGCTGACAGCCTTCATAGGGTTAGGCATGCTGTCCGCCTTTGTCACTGGAGACTTTAACATATTAATCATAATTCTCCTTCTGAGAGCTCTAACATCCGAGTCATACCTGAGTCTGAGTCTGTCGACTGCTTTGTCTCTTGACTCTGTGCTCTTTTCCCCTGTGTTTTTGTGGATCTTATAATTTGCAAGACAGTAGACACTGAGGTAAGTAGGTTCAGGTCTGGATATGTAAGCAGCTCTTCTTTTTATAACTCTCTACTGTAAGGAATGGAGTCACTCTGTCAGGAGTTAACCCGGGTTTGCATTTATTGTTGCTGTAGTTATCCTTGGTATAAAAATGGCAAATTTTATGTTGCCTGTATTTTACCACAATTTTTAAAAATTAACACTAGTAATATATCACAAACCATTGAATTGTACAGTTTAAATGGGTGAACTGCAGGGCATGTAAACTCTCTCTCAAGAGCATGGTTAAGAAAAAGGAAATGAACTGAGGGGCCGGCCTACAGTAGATGCAGCACCCCTGCAGCTACCATTGGTCTAGTGGGCGACCTAAGACCCAAAGTTTCAGGCCACAGGACGGGGTGAGAATGTCCTGGCTGTTTCATTACCTAGAAACCCACCGCAGAGAAACCTCTGGCCCAGGCCACATCCACGTGACCAAATGACAGCTAGAAAGATATCGTGGGAACCTCCTAAAAGTCTCATGACAAAACCCACTCTAAAGATCAAAAAGTCAGAGAGGTTACAAGTGCCCCTCTTCCGCCCACCCCTCCGTGGAAGCCCTGCTCCCACACGTGCCCTCCCTCGCAGGAGGCAGGGGATGGGGCTGTGGGAGAAGCCAGGAGCCCTGCCACACCCCTCTTCAGTCCACCTCTCTTCCCTGGCCCTGTCTATCGTGGAAAACTCGCTGTCACTGAGATAACTAATTTAAACCCCTCTACCTGTCCCATTCTATCCCCCTCCGGTTCCTCCAGATGGGGACAGTAATTTCCTAATTAGAGCATCCAGTGCCCCTGGGAGCTGCAGACACAAGGTGGTCACCTGTCTCTAGCCTCTCCCTCTCCCATGGTGGGAATATTCGGCCTCACCCCCCACCCCAAACAAGAATTTCTGCCAATCTCCCCCAATTAAGCTCCCCATCTCCTCGATAAACATTCATTTTGGGTCAAAATTGGGTCATGCTAGGCAAGCACCGCTCCCAGGCAATTTCCCATGGCCCACCTTCCAGCCCATCGCCGCCTCTCATGACCCAGGCCTCCTGGAGCCCCGGCTGCCTCCACACTGCTTCCAGAGTCACTTTTTTTTTTTTTTAATATGTTTTATTGATTTCAGAGAGAGGAGAGGGAGAGAGAAACATCAACAATGCTGCCTCCTGCACGCCCCCTCCTGGGGGTCGAGCTGCAACCCCGGGCCTGTGCCCTGACCGGGGATCGAATGGTGATCTCCTGGTTCATGGGTCGATGCTCAACCACTGAGCCACACAGGCCGGGCAGAATGACCTCTTTTAACCGGGACAGAATCCTGGCCTCTCCTGCTTAAAAGCTTCCGCTGGCTCCCCACTGTCGCTGTGACAGTCCACACACCTCAGTTATCACGGTGCCCGGCGCCTGGGGGTCTCCATGGTGTCCTCTCTCCCCCCTCACTGCTTCTCACACTTAGGGCCTGAAACGCTAAGCTGGTTACGGTTCCCTAAAGAATCCAGGCCCTAAAGGCCAGCATTCGTCTGTTCATTTAGCACAGTGCCCAGCATATAGGAAGCCCTTCATTAAATATGTATTAAGTGGATGCACTTATTGAAAACATATTCGATGTCAATTCCATATGTCAGGAGAATTATTCCACATCAGCTTCAAGTGGTCGGGAAGCGGCATATTTATCCTACCATGTGGACAAGGCAACACACAATTCTCACACCTATTAACGTTCCTGGATACAGTAGCCCCTCGTGAATACAGGGATGGAGGGATTGAGGGAGGGATGGATGGATGGATGGATGGATGGATGGATGGATGGATGGATGGAGGATGGATGGATGGATGGATGGATGGATGGATGGATGGATGAAAGTGAAGGACTATGAGAGGATGAGTGACATCAGGAGATGTCCTCTTCTGGAGTGAGGCTATGAGCACAGAGAACATGTCTTAATTCATCTTTGCATTTTAGGAACTCAGAACAAAGTCTAACACAGAAAGTTTTCAATAAACATGGAAAGAATTAATGAGCATGTCATTACATGAATTATATAAATATTATTTTCTTTATAAACCTTGGCTCAACATTTAGACACAGTTGAGATAAACAGCTGATGTGAAAAACCCAAGTAGAAAGAGAAATAGTCTCAGATATTAAAAGTGTGTATAGAAAGTTCTACTAACTAGAAAAAAAAAGTCTCAGTCATGAAAAGGAACCTTCAGCAACCAAAATTCTGTGTAAAATTACGTCTATGAATGGCATCTCTCTTTTGGGGTACGTACATTCCAAAAGAAAGGTCGGCAAAATAAATTACATTATAGATCGTACGCAGAAAATTTTTTTAACTACAACATCATTTCTTAAAAACAACTTTTATTATTGTTATTAGTAATTTTTATCCCTCAACGTGTATGTGCTATAAAGATGTTACAGCTATAATTAAATAGAAGAAACAGACAGTCACCTATAATCACTACCCAGAGATAATGCTTGTTGTCATTAGGTATTAAAAGGTGTTCTCGTATTTCATTTCCATATGTTTACACATATATTTGTGTATGTATAACTTGCCTAAACAAAACGAGAATGTTGTGTCACCTGTTTTTTAAATTTAGCAGCTGTCTCAGAAAGCAGAGCCTAACACGCAGGCTCAGGTGCTCCTGATATAAGCAGCAATTCCCCCAGGGAAGCAGGAGGGGAAAGAGAGAGAGGCAGGAAAAGACCATCGCTGGCTTTGAAGCTGGAAGGGGCCGCAACCCAGGGAATGCAGGCGGCCTCTAGAAGCTGGGGAAGGGAAGGAAGGGACTGAGCCTCCAGAGGGCACACAGCCCTGGGTCACCTTGATCTTAGCCCACTGAGGCCCACATCAGACTTCGGACCTCTAGGACTGTAAAATAATAAAATTGTATTTTTTTTAAGCTACCAAGTTTGTGATAGTTTTTTACAGCAGCAGTGGGAAATTACCTAATTCTACCTACCTGGCTCCTTATTTGAGGCATTTACATTATTTTCAAATTTTTCTCATTATGAACAATAATGCAGTGGAACTCCTTATAACTAAAATTTTATGCATCTCCACAACTTTTTAAAAATCATAGCTATGACTTGTTGGGTCAAAGATCATGCAAAATTTGCCCGACCAGGCGTGGCTCAGCAGTTGAGCGTTGACCTAGGATCCAGGAGATCGGGGTTTGATTCCCGGTCAGGGCACAGGCCCGGGTTGTGGGCTCGATCCCCAGTCGGGGGCGTGCAGGAGGCAGCTGATCAATGACTCATCACTGATGTTTCAACTCTCTCTCCCCCTCTCTCTTCCTCTCTCTGAAATCAATAAAGATTTTTTTTTAAATCATGCAAAATTTAATAACCATTTATATGTATTGCCTTCTAGAAAGACAGTAGCAGTTTGAAATACCATCGACAAATGAGAATCTCCAACAACAAAGGGTATCCTTCTTGGTAGTTTTTTGTGTTTTTTTAAAATTTTTAGCAATTTGACCAGCAATCATAGCACCTGCATGTTTTCTATTGCATTTTTATTATTAATAACGTGTGCTATGTGCATACCTAGGAGTCTCAACAATGAATGCATCGAGTATACATCCTTTTCCCACGAGAACATGTTTAAAGATGAAATTTCAAAACAATTTCTTTTATAGGCTTGAATTCTCAGCTTTTTAACATAAACTCATATTTAAAAGTGAAAAAGCTGTGAAAAGAGCAATTTCCTATTTAATATTTTTAATTTAGCACAGTCACCATGACTTCAACCTTTACCTTTGAAGATCTAACCCCAAAGGAAATGACCGCACCTGAGAAGCAAGTAACCACACCATCGCTCGAATTATGTTTTCCAGTAATAAAACACCAAAGTATTTAGAAGCTCAGCAGAGAAAGAAAACACCCACATCCTCTGAGTTCAGTATATATTACTAATGTCAGTGCCTGAAACTAGATGGTCTCTGCACCTGGGTAACAGAAGCCATGAAACGCCCCGTCCCTTTCCCTCTCCTTGCGGCCGTCTGTCTTCTGATCCCTGGAGGTAAGCTTGTTTTTCACGCGCTTTTCAGCTTTGCTCATGAGAAAACAGGGTGCTGTGTTTGTTTAATCTCGTGTATAAAGGAAAAAGAAATCACAACTCTATTTCCTATAGATTTTTTTAAATTTCCTATAGATTTTAATGTTACCTTTTGTCTCTGCAATGAACAAGGTATGTTGACATTTTAAGATGAAAATGGACCCTCTGTGTCTACAGCAAAATATAGGAAAGCATTAACTATAATCTGGTGGCCCTCAAAAATCCAGGGCAGGTCTACAGAGCAAAACCTTTAAGTGAGAACCTGACAAACCCATTAAACTGGGGGGGTGTCAATTAACTGGGTCTCCCAGTCCTAGAAACACACCTGAACAGTCATAGCTCTCAGATAAATCTTAAAATGTTTGGTTCAGAACGTGTCTGTGAGTGTCTGTTTCCACCGGTGGGGGTCGGTGAGAAAGCAATAGCATCCGCATAAGATAGCCCAATGAACATATAGATGCCAACATTTAATAAAACTTACAACTGAGCATCGTGGTCTTCTAAGTGTTTTACGTACAGTAACTCATTTAATCTGAAGTATCAGTGTTATCATTTTACATATGAGGAAACTAAGGCGCAGACAAGTAAGTGAACTGAAGCTATTGGCTAGTAAGCAGTAGGGCCAGGATTTGAACCCCGAGCTCATATTCTTAACCACACTCCATATCTTAGAGCCCAGGAATGCCTCCAGAGCTGGGGCTCTTACAGTGGGATCTGTGAGCTCCTCAGTGCCAAGGATGGGCATCGAGGCGTCTGTGAGCCTCCAAACCATATGCAGATACTTACGGACCTGCGTGCGCACCTGCATCTATACTGCTGTATCTGAGAGACTGATATTACAAAACTAAAAAGGGTGCCCGGCCGGCGTGGCTCAGCGGTTGAACACCAGCCTGTGATCCAGGAGATCCTGGTTCGATTCCCGGTCGGGGCACATACCCGGGTTGTGGGCTCATCCCCAGCAGGGAGAGTGCAGGAGGCAGCCGATCAGTGACTCTCATCATTGATGTTTCTCTCTCTCTCCCTCTCCCTCTCCACTCTGAAATCAATAAAAACATATTTTTAAATAAAATAAAAAGGGTAAGAAGGCACTGCTGTAGGGGGACAGTGGTTCGCAGCAGGGAGAACAGGTTCTCGGGCGGTGTGGGCTGGGTGGGCGCGCTCCTCTGCTGCGTGTTAGCGTGCACTGGGACGAGTGGCTGCCCTGACCAGGCCACGCTCCCGTCCGCGTGGGAACAGCGCCCACCCTGCCCCGCGTGAACGTCAGAGCCAGGGTCTGCCCAAGCCGGCGGCTGGCGCTCAGAGACGCTCCGTTATTGCTACTACAGTGGCCGGTTTTTTCTTTGATTTTAACATAACTTACTAAACTGTCTCTCCAAATAATCATCACAGCCTGGGACGCGGTGGGGTTCTCGAGGCCAACAATGCGACACCCGCCTGCGGTGGGACGCGAGCGGGCTGGGACCCGGGGCGGGACAGGGGAGTCCCCGACTGCTCCGACTGAGCGGGATTGGGAGAGTCTTTCGNGCTCCGACTGAGCGGGGTTGGGAGAGTCTTTCGTCTTCTTGGGGTGTTGAGAGCTTTTAGAAAAGAGACTCGACAGTCGGACGCTTCTGGTCCCCGAGACAGGCAGGAGCACGTCGTGTGACGGTGCTTTGAACTCCTGGGGAAGAGAAGCTTTGCTCTCATTCAACACCCGGAGAATCCACAGCTTTACCACGGAGACCGGCGACGCCAGAAAGAAACTTCCCCCGAACCACTGAGAGAATAACAGCAAGTGAAGTGGGGGCTTCACAGAACCGCTTCGCTCACGGTCACCTTTCTGAGGTCCGACTCGAGAGGCCTTTAAACAGGGTGAACCGTGACGTCCATCCCAACGCTTCTCTGCGGCCGCGGCCATCACTCTCGGTCCCCAGCCACGCGCCTTCGCCCGGCATCACACCGGAGCCTGAAATCTCGCATTTCCCCGTCTCCTTGGAAATAAACAATAGCAAAGAGCCTTCTCCGTGAAGGTGTCCGGGCCCTGCCGACGGCATTTGCAGCCTGAGTCCCGCCAGCTCCCCTTCTGCTCCCCCAGGCCCTCGGCACAGGCCCAGCTCTTTGCCCCACAGCTTTGCTCTTTCTTCAGTTAAGTTCTTTGAAGGTAACAGCTGTGCTTTGTCTTTTTTTTTTTTTTTTTAAATGTATCTTTATTGATTTCAGAGAGAGGAAGGGAGAGGGAGAGAGAGAGATAGAAACATCAATGATGAGAGAGTCATTGATCGAGCCCGCAACCTGGGCATGTGCCCTGACCGGGAATCGAACCCCGATTGCCTGGATCCTAGGTCGACGCTCAACCCCTGAGCCAGGCCCGGCCGGGCGGCTGTGCTTTGTCTTTCCGTCACTCTTATCAGCAGCCACTCAGAAATAACTGCAGAATAACCGCCCAAGGCAGGAAAAAGAACAACTGTGAAAATCGCTCGGGGCCTGTGGGGATGTCAGCCTGGGACTGGAAGTACCAGCCGGAGTCCTGGTCGCGGGCTATTTCTCTCCCCACTGGGGACATGGATTGACATTTACTATTTAACTACAACACTTTTTATAGCCCCGCCCCTTTTCTTAGCTCCTCTGCCTCACCGCCTCCTTTCTGTATGAACGGTGACTCACAAGAGAAGATAAAAGCAATTAAACGCCACTGAACCCCTGCAGACCGTGTGTAGAAAGCGAAGCTCATGAGCTGAGCTAACGTGGGTCCCGGAGCCAAAGCAGCGGGTTCTGTTTCTTCATGGACCACTCAGGCTCCCGCGGGAAATCCTGAGTTCTCCAGCCTCACGGAGAACCTGCCCATGCCCAGCAATCACCTGGCACATGTACCTTAGGGGTCAGGTGACG